CCTGCTGACAATGCTTGAGCCTTGGAGTGTTATTCATTCAGCATTCTACAAATGCATAAGCAATTACGCACCAATAGATTTTAAGGAGGAAAAAAAAAAAAACGATAGCACCAATGAATTTATTAGTTTAATTTTGTCCACCACTATTGGCAAATAACAATAACCGCCGTCATATTTTGTTTTTATTTTTATAAAAAATGTGAATTTGCTGTTGACTTCTTTCTTTGCCTCAAAGATCAATGAATGAATAGATTTGACTTTTTTAGGCAATTTTCATTTAAGAGCTTTCTAAGGTAGGAATACGATAGCACCAATGAATTTATTAGTTTAATTTTGTCCACCACTATTGGCAAATAACAATAACCGCCGTCATATTTTGTTTTTATTTTTATAAAAAATGTGAATTTGCTGTTGACTTCTTTCTTTGCCTCAAAGATCAATGAATGAATAGATTTGACTTTTTTAGGCAATTTTCATTTAAGAGCTTTCTAAGGTAGGAATACCTAGGTTTCTGAAAAATGGGATTGGATCAAAATCACATTAAAATGATATATATATGTATTAAGGACTATACCATTATTTAAATTAGGAATCCCCTAAAAAAGTTAAAATAGGGACATCAATAGTTGCTTTGTATTGCTAAAAAACTATCATATTTAAAAGAACATTCTCTGGTACGTTAATATACTAGTAGGTCAAGTTTTTTAACTGTTAAATTTACATAAAATCACGTAAAAATTAATAACGTACTCTCTCTTAAAAGTTTTAGCTAGCATATAAATTAGTTTCATCTATTAATGATAATCTTTTTTAATATTTCTACATGAAAAGCCAAAAGTATAACTACGTTTTCTTTAATTTCATTTGGTGAATGATGAATTTCCTTTTTTTTCACTTATGTGTACTTTCTTTGACCAAGAATTTAAAGATGCGTTTGAAATTGATTTTAAAATAATTTTATTTTTAATAAAAAATAAAAATGAGATTATTTTCAGAATAGACCGATTTTAAAATTAGATTTGGTTAGTTTTTTAAGAGATTATTTTGAGTATAATAAAAAATAAAATTGTGTTTATTAATTAATATATTATAATATTCTTGATAAATACTAAAAAAATGAAAACATAAAAATGTGAAACCAATTGTTTTCTAATTGGTTCAAAAAACCATTATCACTGTTTTTAATTATGGATCAAAACGGTGGTGGACATTGCTATCTTGCATATGACTTGTAGATTTTGACAATTCCAGGACAAGCCTCTAGGCTTCAACGTGTAGACCTTTTGTCATTAGAACCTGACCTTTTTTTTTTTTTTCTCTTTTTTTTGGTTGAGTCTTTTGAATCTCACATGGCGGTAAAATTTTACACCAAGTCTCCCCTCATCTCGTTTATCATGGCTGCAAATAATTCGAGGGCGAATGAAATCGGCAATGGTGATCTCTTGGGAGCCACCATAATTCTCTCTTTTGTTGTTCGATAGAATTTTTTTTCAGAAATTGGCCAGCCAAGGAGCCAGTAGATGTGTATACCTACACCAAAGCTTCTAACGATTACTAACTAATGTGAAAGATATCAGGTCAAATACACTTCTACCCGGATCCGTGAAGGAACTATGTGTTTCATTTTCAGAGACCTACTAATGATGGTATAAAATACGATCGTGATGTTGAGGATATGAACATGAAACACATTTATGAGGTGAAAGGAAATATTAAAATATAATAATCAAGGCACAAACCAATGAATGAAAAAACAAACTTCGTTATACCATTTGTATCTAATTCCGGTAATGACATAAAAAATAATCGTGCTAGACATGATCCGCTACAATGTAGGGCCGGGGCTTAGTACAGCCCCTCTCTACGTTGCCAGGTCACAATCGATTGACACCATTAGGCTCAAGTCCAAAAGTATGAAGTAGCAATACAATAATGATGATTAATTTTATAATTCAAAAGATACAGTACAAAAGGGCTGTTACATGCGTGATAAAACATTAGCAAACCATTAAATTCCCCCACCTGTTTAGGTGCTAGTAATAAATCATTTAAGCCCTGACACCTAAAATTGAGTACCTTGCTAAACAATGTTCTCAAAAAATGGATAATCAGTGTAACCAACAACAGGATCAGATGTATAAAATGTCTCTCTAAAGTACTTATTTAGAGGAACGTTGAGCTCGAATCTCTTTGGCAAATCCGGATTAGCCAAGAAATGACGACCATATACAACAAGATCTGCACGGTTATCGGTCAGAGCTTTGTTCCCATCTTCCCTGTTATAACCCCCAGCAACAAGAAAGGTACCCTTGAAAGCCTTTCTCAAGGGGACAAGACTATGAGGAGTTTCATGTGTCTCTCCAACCGTCTTCAGTCTTGGCTCAATCACATGACAGTATAAAATCCCATACTTGTTCAATGATTCCATCATGTAAAGCCCCAAGGCTTCAGGGTTGGAGTCCACGGATTCAATGAAAGTAGCAAATGGAGATAATCTTATTCCAACTCTATCCGCCCCTATCTCATCGGCAGTAGTCAACGACTTCAAGAGCAAAACGGCAACGGTTCTCTAAGGTTCCACCATATTTATCAGTTCGATCATTCACTTGATCTTTTAAAAATTGGTCAATGAGGTATCCATGAGCCGCATGGATCTCAACTCCATCAAATCCTATATGCAGGAGACAAATATTAGAACGACCAAATTGAAAAGTTGAAAACGATGGCATCTTAGTACAAAGTGTCTTGACTAGCTATTGGTCTTCTAGTTTCCCAAAACCGGACAAAGTTCGTACTTTTGTAGAACAAATTCTTGGGCAAGACATCAAAAAATTAATGCCACCGTGTCTTCACTATTTCAAAGATTCTAAAGATGAAGTAACAAGCAGAGAACTTTAGCAAAAGTTATAATTCTACTGATGTGCATTTACTAAAGTCTTCAGTGATTCATATAGTTTAGATGTCAGAACACTTTTTACTTCCAAGTTCTTCTACGTTTTATTAAAGAGAGAACCTACCAGCTTCTATGGCATTCCTCGCAGCAAGTCTAAAATCATTGACAATTTGAGGAATTTCATCCGTTCTTAGCCGCCTTGGAGGTGTGAATTGAGCAACATCAACACCATTGACTAGAATTTGGTTAGTCAATGGCTTGTCCGTGGAAGATATTGGAGCTTGGCCATTTGGTTGGTAACCTGTACACACCAATAAGGTAGAATAAATGCCTAAATCAAACAGTTTCAATGCTATCAATCTGACCTAATCAAAACCACCCGTCTGATATGATATTTTACTAAGAAGCAATTTACATATTATTGTCCCATTTCCACTACTTCATACTTGTTATTAAAATTAAACTATTTCATATCATTGGTTTCACAACCTTGTCATATTTTATGTAACAATTTTTCAGCACATAATGTGGGCCGTCTACTTCACAACCATTTTTTTTTTTTTTTTTTCATCTCAAATAATTTAGGGTTCAAATGTCCATATATTATTATTAAATAAGCCAATAACTCACCTGAATTTGAAACCCTTCCGACATGCCAAATCTGACAGAAGAATACACCACCTTTGGCGTGAACAGCATCAACAATTGGCTTCCAGGCTTCAACTTGCTCTTTTGTCCATATACCAGGGGTATCCGTGTACCTATATACACATAGAAAACAGAAAGACATTACAAAACTTTTCAATTGAAGAAAGAAAGAATAACATGAAATCTGTGATCCCAATAGAATTACCCTTGAGCAGTGTCAGATACTCCAGTTGCTTCAGCAATCAGAAGACCCCCTTTGGTGGCTCTTTGAGAGTAATACAAAACGGCATGTGGCTGAGGAACATTGCCGTATGATCTTTGCCGAGTTAATGGTGCTAAAACAACTCTGGAAAAAAGTGACAAGCAAAAAGGGTAACAAATGAAATTCGAAAAACACAAGCATTAAAAGGTACTGGTAATAGATTTTTCACAGAATCAAACATTTTCCTTACCATTTAGGCAACCAAGCTCAGATTAGAAACTCAAGAAACCTAAACAAAATGAGTATTAAGAGCAAGAATAATACCTATGAGAAAGATCGAACTTGCCCATTTTGTAAGGAGTGATAAGAGGGATCTTGGCGGGAATTTGAGCAGCACTCGCATGACTGTCGTCGTTCTGATCTTGTGTACCTCCAAGTGAACTCTGTTTTTTGGTTTCCATTTTCTCTGCTTTACTAAACGCTCTTATTCCTAGTTTCAGATCGTGTAGAATGAATGAAGACTCAATTGCGGTATTTAAGGGATGTTTGGTACTTAGATTTGTTCTCTCATTCAAATTATAATTCGTGATTCATTATAATATTTTTTCTTATAAAAAATACACATAAATTAAAAATAATTTTAATCACATAATTTTAATTTATGAACCAACCGTCTCCTTATACAAACAAATTGTGCAGACTGCCGCTCGCAGCTGGCTGCTGGCTGCTAAACCGGGAAACTCTGAAGAAAGGTAATGTGGGTCCCACATTTTCCGTAGGACAGAAAAGCGATTTGGGAGTGCTGGTGTTGTTTTTCGGGCTGATTCGGAGCTTAATAGTTGATGCTGACGTTTGAGCATTCGTGTGTATTTTTGTTTTTGCTGATGTCGGCATACGTGTTGTTGCCTATCTGTATGCTGACGTTTGCTTTTGCCCACCATCGTTGACCCAGTAGAAGTCAATAAGAACCACCATGGCCCACAATAATAGCCATTAGAATTTGTAAAGGGGAGGTTAATAGCCCTTTTTAGGCAGAATACAAATAATTAACAGGAAGTTAAGTAAGTAAACGTTTGTTTCTATATTCATTTTTTATTTTAAATTATGATTTATAATTTTTTATAAAAAATATATTTAAAATAAGAATAATTTTAAATTATAATTTTAAATATATAAATCAAATATCCTTTAAATTTGAGATTTGTTAACAAGAGATTTATTGAATTTACCCATGACTAAATTTATCAAATTTATCAGAAATTTTAGATTATCCATGACTAAATTTAGTAAATATCCCGTGACTAAATTTCTCAAATTTATCCAGAAAATTTCAAATTATCCATGATTAGATTCAGCAAAACTGAGATTTATTGACTTCATTTTTTGCAAATTTTGTAAATTCGAGTTTTACTCCCATAAAGTTCAGATTATATATTTTCTGTCAACATTTACTAATTCTTCTTAAGTTACATATTATTTATTAAGTTTTAGTTAACAAACTCATTTTTTACTCTTTACAATCTTTTTTAAAATAAAAGGTTTTATTTATTAACAATTGTAGTAAATGAGCAAAAAAAAAAAAAGGATGCTATTTACTAGCATAAAAAATTAAACGTGGCTATTAGTTAAAATTTTCCCAAAAACAAAAATGAATCAAGTGAATTTTCCTCTTTTAGAAGATATAGAATTTTAAATATATTTTTTATAAAATGAATGTTGATTTTAGTTGAATAAAAGACCCTTTTCACAAAAAAAAAAAAAAAAAAGGGATTTTTTTTTTTTCTTTAAAGATCAATGAAATATTTCAAAAAAAAAAAAAAAGAACAGTGAAATAGTTTGTCTCAATTCTCATTAGACAAACATTATTCCTTGGTTAGTGTTTAATTGTTTAATTTATGTGGGAAATAAATAGTTCATTTTTGTTTTCTTGAGTAACAAAACAACATTTTACTTATCAATACTTTTTTTATTTTTTTTATTTTGTAATTACCGCTAGGCTGTGCTGCAACCTCACATATCAATACTTTTTATATGAATTTTTTTATGATTAATTTGACTCCTTAATTTATTATTCTTATTAATCTGTGTTCGAGTTATTTACGCAATTCTTAAATTGCATATCTTTTGAGTAAAAGGAAAAACTTTAAAAATAAGTTTTTGAATCACATACGTATAACTCTTAGGACCATACTATGTTTTAATAAATCAGGGATCTCTCTCAAAGAGAAAAAATATTTAAAATAGGGGGATTAGTGGTTGTTTTTGTGTGGCTATATACCTATGATATTATTTAGTTTAGAAATTAAACTGGCGTTGAAATTAGCTTCAACTATTACTAATGAACTGTTGTTATTTCAGCATGGAAAGCAGAAATTGTAACTAGTTTTCTTATGACTTCATTCAATGAATCATGGATGACCTCCCCCCCCAATAAGGCTTTGCCGTTTTGACGTTAAACTATTGAGTCCAATGCACTCTTCAATAACACGCACCAAAAAAGGAAGAGAAAAGGATTTTGCAATTTATATTAACTCCTAATCATACAATTATTCATAAAGGAAAACTTCTCTTATTCTCTATTAATCCACTTAAGGACATGTATCTTGCTAAATAGGATCTGCTATAATGCAGGTTCAGGGCTGTGTCCGATTGACTCCATGTTCAAAGTCCAAAAGTACGAGGTAGCAAATAATGATGGCATGTTTTATTATTCAAAAAAATACCAGTATTGGGCAATTTTACATACAAAATTAGAAAATCATTCAAGTCCATACAGCTTCTTTGGGTGCCACTAATAAATCATTCAAACTTCCAAACTTAAAATTGATTACCTAGTACTGGTTTTAAAGAATGGATAGTCGGTATAACTAATAATGGGATCAGATGTGTATAATGTCTCTCTGATGTACTTATTTAGAGGAGCATTGAGCTCGAATCTTTTTGGCAAGTCTGGATTAGCCAAGAAATGACGACCATAAGCAACAAGGTCTGTGCGGTTTTCAGCTACAGCTTTGTTCCCATCCTCCCTGTCATACCCCCCGGCAACAATGAAGGTACCCTTGAAAGCCTTTCTCATGGGGACAAGACTGTGGGGGGTCTCATGTGCCTCTCCAACTGTCTTCATTCTTGGCTCAACCATGTGGCAGTACAAAATTCCGAATTTGTTCAAGGATTCTGCCAAATAAAGCCCCAATGCTTCAGGGTTGGAATCCCCTGATTCCATGTAGCTAGCAAATGGAGATAATCTTATTCCAACTCTATCCGCCCCTATCTCGTCGGCAGTAGCTTCTACAACTTTAAGAGCGAAACGACAGCGTTTCTCTAAGGATCCACCGTATTCATGAGTTCGATCATTCACTTGATCTTTCAGAAATTGGTCAACGAGGTAGCCATGTGCCCCATGGATCTCAATTCCATCAAAGCCTGTACATAGGAGACAAACAGTGTTAACAATATTAGTAGAAACTTAAAAGACTTGAAATATTAGGGATGATTGAATCTAAAGTTGAAAACTCTAGCATCTTACTGTAACAAAAGGTGTCTTGATTAACTATTAATTATGTAAGGGTTGTTCTTTTGTAACAAAACTCAGAAAAAATTTAAACTCAAGTTACAATTTTATTTAAGTTCACGTTCTTTTAAGTTTCAACTTTATTCAACTTTACTCAACTTTATTCAAGTTACAATTTTATTTAAGTTCACGTTCTTTTAAGTTTCAACTTTATTCAACTTTACTCAACTTTATTCAAGTTACAATTTTAATTCAAGTTATAATTCAAATTCAACTCAAAAACTACACTCAAATTACACTCTAAAAGAACAAACCCTAATCTCCCCAAGCAGAATAACGTTCTACACATTGGACTACTCTCTTTAGTATAAATTCTTAGACGAAACTTGTAAAACTAAACACACTTTTAAACATTTTAAAGATGAAGTAAATATGTTATTTCAATAAAAAAAAATGATGTAATATGCACAACTGTAGAGTAATCTCAGGAAACAACATAAAACTGAGAAAGGAATTGAACCAAGTGACAAATCGTTTTAGACTAGAAGATAGATGCAACAATACAGAACGCAACATTTTGGTTAAAAGCTTAGTTCCTAGCCAATAAGATGAAGACACGTGGAAAGGCGGTGAAGACTTCCGACTTTAGTCGGTTCATCATCTACTTTATGTTATAAGTCTGATATGTTGTAAGGCTTGGTAATTCACGGGTATTTGGTGTACAATTCTAGAGTGAGAATTTTTGAGTTTTAGAGAGAGAAAGGAGAACTTATAGTTTTCTGGTGAGAGAAACTGTAAGCAAGGATAATAGAAAAGAATTTGGGAGAGGTTTTGTATTGGGTGTTCTTCCACTAGGTATTCTTTTCAGGTTGCTTAGGATATCTTTGGGTTTGCTCTAAATTAGAGTTCTTGTGTAATCTGGAATTGGGGCTCTTCTTGTATTGAGAGGTTGAAGGGTGTAATAAATTTCTCTGATAGTAAATAGAGCTTTTCTGAGGAAGAGCTCAATGGGGATGTAGGAATTATTTCTGAACCTCGGTAAAATAAATTCTTGTGTTCTTGTTTTTTCTGGATCTTGCGTATTTGTGATTTCTTATTTTTCGGTGAGTCTGTGTTAGAATCAGCCTAATAGTGGTATTAGAGCCAAGTTCATTAGCAGATTTTTTAAGAATTCCAGTGGACTCACACAAGGGTTTTGATAATCTTTATCAAAATTTCAAGGAAATCGGAACTCAAGGGGATTGCAAGGTTTGAGCTTGAAAAGTTTAATGGAACAGGGGATTTCGGTCTTTGGAGGAAAAAAAACTAAGGGCCATCCTCATACAACAAAAAGTGGCAAAAGCTCTAGGCGACATGAAGGATTTGTTAGTGTTTAAAAAAGAGAAGGCCGAGATGCAAGAAACGACGTATTCAACAATTATTCTGTCAACGTTCTCCGGCAAGTAAATGAAGAAGACACGGCGGCTAAGGTATGGCTAAAACTGGAACAACTTTACATGACGAAGTCTTTGACAAACAAGATCTACTTGAAAGAAAGTTTATTCAGTTTTAGAATGGATCCTGAGAAAAGTCTAGAAAAGAATCTTGACGTGTTTAACAAGATCGTCATTGATTTAGCCAATATCAGAGAAAAGGTAGAAGAAGAAAATCAAGCCATAATCCTGCTTATCTCTTTGCCCGAGTCGTATAAGGATGTAAAGAATGCCATTAAGTATGGCAGAGAGAGTTTAACTCTTGATGATGTACTGTCAGCATTAAGATCTCGTGAACTGGAAATCAAGAATGAATTGAGTCTGAGAGGGGATGAAGGTCTGTTCTCAAAAGGAAGGCCTCAGAAAAGGGACCAAGATCAATCTAAGAACTGACCCAACTCTAGATCAAAATCCAGGAATGGACAGAAGAAGTGTTTCTTCTGTAACAAACCTGGATATATTAAGAGAATCTGTAAGGAGTACAAGAAGAAGCTTGCAGAAAAGAAGCCAGAAAATGCATATGTGGCTGTGGCAGCTAAAGATGGAGGTTATGAGAGTTCTGAAATATTGGCAGTAGGAGTAAATTAGAATGATGAGGAATGGATACTTGATTCTGGGTGCACATATCATATGTGTCCCAAGAGGGAGTGGTTCTGATATGAACCCAACTCATCTTAAGACTTCTTCTAGAAGACAGCGTGGAAGTGGGGATAAGGCTCTTGGGAGCATTGACCAAGTCCAACTCCTTCAGTTTTTGGGTTTAGCACATGTGGAGGATGATCCATTCAACCAAGTAGTTGAGTAGCTATTTCCTTGATTCTCTCCAGCACGTGTCCACTCAGCCATTTCGCCACTTAGTTCATGTTTCCTATTTTTTAGTTGTTTGTCACAAATACTTTATGGATGTTTTCTATAAATATCTATTTAGGATTAGCTTTGAGGTTATCGAATTGAATTATTTATATTGTATCTTGGGAGTTATGTCCTCTCCATACGGACACTTGTATTGGTGGAAGCTGGGGTTAAAGATTCTTGCATTTCGTTTTCAGCCAATATATTTCCTTTCTTATCCTAATATTTCCAGTAATTTCCCTTTATTATGTCCGCTCCTAACATTTTGGTATCAGAGCCAGGTTAGTCCATTATGGTGAACACCATATCCAACCCTTCTGCTACTGACCCAAGTCCTGACCCCATTGTTCAGCATCTTTCGACTATTGCTTCCAAACTTGAAGTCGCTGCTCTCAAGGCACAAACCAACCGCAGAAACTAGCCAAGGCAAGCAAGACAAAGGAAAGATGGCGGAAACTAGCTTGGGTTTTTGTCAACGAGACAAGCCTTTTTGGGTGGATGATGTCGAAGCGGAGATGGATAGCCCTTGGTGGTTGCGTAACCTTTTGCAACGCCTATACACCAAGATGGAATTTCCTAAATACGAATGAGGTGATCCACGGGGTTGGATTATGAAAGCAAAAAAATTTTTCCATTATCATCAAACCCCAGATGATATGAAAGTCGAGATTGCCGCCGTGTACTTGGAAGGTGACGCCCTCGATATGTTCGCCTGGATCAATAGTGAGTAAACTATTGTGTATTGGGAAGAATTGGTGAAAGCCCTTCAAGAGAACAATGGACCTGCAGAATTCCAAAATCCAGACGAGCATCTATGCAACATTCGGCAAGTGGGGAGCGTTCAAGAATACCGTCAAGAGTTCGCCAAACGCGCCGCTGGAGTCAAATTGTGGCCCGAACATTGTCTCTTAGGGGTCTTTCTCAGTGGCTTAAAGGAAGAATTGAAGGCTAACGTACGGATTCACAAACCACGTTCAATATATAAAGCCATGAGTTTGGCTTTTGAATTTGAATCCAAACTAGGCCCACATCGCAGCACCAAAAGGGCCAATTGGACCACAGCCCCAAACATCTTTCATGCGTGCTTCTTCTGTTCACGCAAACCCCCGACAATTTTCCCCTACCACCCAAGCGACGACCCAACCACCGCAAACTCGATCATGGGAAGCTGAACAACAGAACAGAATAACCAAATGTCTATGCTTCCGTTGTAATGAGAAATTTTCTCCGGGTCACAAATGTAAATCCACAAGCTTATCTCCAATGGAACTCACGGACTGCAATCATCCAGACAGTGGAGACGACGAAAATTTCAATGACGGCGTTCCACCAGCGGCAGACTTTGCTGAGATTTCTTTCCACACAATTTTGGGAAAGTCGGTTGGTGCAACCATGGAACTTCAGGGAGAAATCAATGAGCGGCAGGTCTTGATCCTTGTTGATAATGGGTCAACACATAATTTTGTGGCAGAAACTATCGTGGAGGAGCTTGGAATTCCAGTGTAAACCATTCCCCTATTCGGCGTACAAATAGGAAACTAGAACATCATTCGCTGTAATAAAGTTTTTCGTGATCTTCATGTTCAGTTGCCAGGCTTATTCGTCACTCAAGATTACTACCCTTTTTCGATTGGGGGAGATGATTTGGTCTTGGGGATCAAATGGTTGGCTTCTCTCAACACAGTTCAAGCCAATTGGAAGGATATGTTCATGATTTTCAATTGGCAAGGGAAGCGTTACAAATTGCAAGGAGTTCAGTCGGACAAACCAACTACGACTTCATTCTAATCTTTCAAAAAAATTCCAGAGTCACCAGGTAACCCAATTCAGACACTTTTATATGAATTACAATCTGTTTTCACAGAACCAATATCCCTTCCTCCATTCAGAACACACTCACACGTCATTCCCCTGTTACCAAATTCCAAACCCCCAAACATTAGGCCTTACCATTACCCACATTCCCAAAAGACTGAAATTGAAAACCAAGTGGCTGCTTTACTAGAATCTGGTTTTATCTACCCAAGCTCAAAGCCCCTTTGTTAGCCTGGTCCTACTAGTAAAGAAGAAAGATTATTCCTGGAGGTTCTGTGTTGATTACAGAAGCCTTAACAAAATAACCATACCTGACAAATATCTCATACCAAATATCGATGAATTACTGGATGAGTTACACAGAGCCACTATTTCCTCAAAAATTGACATTCGTTCAGGATATCGCCAAATTCATGTCCAGCTAGCCGATATCCATAAAACAGCCTTCCGCACTTACTCAGGCAATTATGAATTTATTTTAATGCCTTTTGGCCTTACCAATGCACCATCCACTTTCCAATTAGCAATGAATGACCTTTTCAGACCATATCTCAGAAAATTCGTCTTGGTTTTCTTTGATGACCTTTTAATCTATAGTCCCACTCCCCAACAACACCAATAACACCTCCAGACAGTCCTTCATCTTTTTTTTGCCAAATCTTATTTTACTAACCCCAAAAAGTTTCTGTTTGGGCAACCTCAAATTGGGTTTTGGGTCATGTGATTTCAAAAGATAGAGTAGTCGTAGACCCTGACAAAATTTTGGCTGTATT